CAGACCGCAATGTACTGATTAGCAATCCGACTTCATATCCAGAGACCCCGGGTTTAAGTATGAGGCAAATAACCGACTACTTTGGCTTTAGCTTTTTATGGTTTCCATCATTCTGTTGAGGAAAATGCTGAATTTGAGCAATAATACCAAAATTTAGCTCAGTTTTCATCACATTTCATAAGTAATTTACAACACTGACTCCCCCCCCCAAATTATCTTTATTTATTTCATAAATATGCGCTTAGATGAAAGGTAATGTCCCGTAAAATTTAAAAAGAAAACCTTCCCCATTTATGCTTAATACATCTACATAACATTTATGTATCGGTAAATTGTATTTAATTTTGTTTGAAACATTTTTGTGTGGTGAATATTTGACAGGACAAACACCGAAGACCATAAACAAGACTGAAAATGTGCAATCAATACAAGATTACACAATTCACACGTGTTCTTTGCACCTTTACTTTACAGATATTTTTCCTTGTAACTAACTAACTAACTGCATGAAGCAGAGTCATTTTTCTCATATATATTCAAGAAATTCCCCACGTTTTATGGAAACTGAGGGTCCATTACCATTTTACAAGATCTTTGCTACCATTTCTTATCCCGAGTCAGATGAAGCTGTTACACACTCTCCAACACTTTTTCCCTAATGTCTACTATGATATTATCCTTATCTGTGTCTAGATCCTCCAAATGATCCTTTTCCTTCAGGATTTCCAACCAAAATTTTGTACTCATTTCTCATCTCCCCCACGTGCAGTTTGCACCATTCATCTCATTATCCTTGATCTGATCATTTGAATAGTATTTGGCGAAGAGTACAAATGCTAACTTTGATCATAATATAAGCATTAGTATCTGTTTTTAGCATTTATTTCTGTCTCTCTGCTCTTATATTTCATTTGTTATCAGAGAGTGATTGTGGACAGGGCAGTATAGATTCAAACAGATGTCCTTGACTTTATGTTTAACTGTTACAAACTAATCAATACATGCAGTAAAAGCAATATTCATCATTGTCATAACTTATTCGTTTTAGAGGAAGTTATCTATAAAACAATGTATGCCTATCCCTCAGACTATGAACGTAATTTGTTAGATGAAAATTACATAAGGTGAAAATTTGAAAATCAAAAATGAAATTCCTTTTAACTCCAATGTGATAAATACGAGGCTAGTCCACAAAGTAAGTTTCCCTGGGGCCGTTTACAGAAACAAAACACAATTTCATGGAAATATTTATTGCAACAGATACAGCAAGTGTCCAGCTATTTTTCAACATATTCGCCACCGGAATTGAGACATTTGTCATACCGTGGGACCAACTTTGGAATACCTGTGTCGTAGAAGTCTGCCGCCTGGGATTGGAACCACTGTGTGACAACCATCTCCGCCTCTCTGTCATTCTCAAAACGCTGACGCTGACCGGACAGGAATTTCTTGAGGTGTAGGAAAAGATGGAAATCACTGGGAACGAGGTCCGGGCTGTAGGGTGAATGATCAAACACCTCCCAGCTGAACTCCTGCAGGAGACTCGCTGTCCGTCGAGCCGTGTGCGGCCGAGCGTTATCACTGACCGCACTTCACAGTCGGCGGGAGCTGGAATAAGAACCTCCATCTTCAACAGCTGCAACGATGCTACGGTGAGAACGCGGGAGGTGCCGTTAGTGCATGCGCCATGCTACGTCATTGCTCTATCACGTACGCACAGTCACTTCGCGCAATATAAGGTTTGCTAGCTGTGGGACGAGTGGGAAACTTACTTTGAGGACGCGCCTCGTAATTACTTAAAACTATACCTGGTTTCTGATTCCCAGAAATATCATCCAGTACTTTCTCACATGTGTTAAAATACTACACAATCATAAAACTAAGAACAGTGTTACTTTTTTATGATAGTTACTACCTATTTAACCCTGTATAAAAGATACAGTGGAACCACGGTTCCGGAGAATTTGACGTAAATACGTCTATACGTTAAGGAGTTTATATAGTGGCTTTATTCTAAATATTTTCTTTATACATGCTTTACAATTGATTAAAGTACTGCCTACCTTGAATTAGTTACACTTAAGATGGGTCTGTGGTAGCTGAAATATGTTATAAAATTTGTACATTTTAGAGTATCAACATATCGTGCAAACACCATATATATACAAGATTTTGATCTAGTAGTACTACATTGAGGATTTGACATCAACATTAAGCGAAACGTTTCCTCCATAAATGTGACAAAGCTTTTATTTTCCTCCTTCATAAAACAAAATCTCCTGTCAATATTATCGGCACTGTATTAGGATCTTCTGTGGCCATAACTGAAAACATCTTTGTATAATTTCTCAAATGACTCAAAATAAATCTCTTACAATCATCAATAGGTGTGTACATCTTGTACATAGTATGATGCAAGAAACTAACGCAACATTAGATAAGTACCTGTGACATTGTAAAACGTTTTTACCAGCACAAAATTATCTAATATCTTCTACAAGCGATTCACAGCTCAGCTCTTTCCGCAAAGCGTATTGTTGACGGCAGTAATGTAACAACAATGCCGAGTAAACAGATGACGTTTCCTAGGTAACATAACAATGCATGCAATCTGACCATTGTTGTCAGTCCATATTTACAAATTGTTGTGGTTTCCTAGGTAACCATCTTACACATTTTCCTGTCGCTTTTTCGTAACACCTTTTTTGCGGAATGACACTGACCCTTCCATATAGACATACTTACGTCAAAACTATTGAATGTTACATCAAACATTTACATTTTACAGCAGTTACTGTAATTGCAGTATAAACATCAGAACTTTCATGATCCTCAATAAAATCTCAGGCGATCAACCACATCAGATAGTTAAAAGATGAAACCGATGTTTCAGGTACAGTTACGTCACTGTGAAAGCTTCAAATCATATTCCATATTTGTTACAAAGTCGATGTTCGGCCCTTCTTCACTGTATTAGGAACAATGTTCGCAAATTTAAAAATAGGTATAAATTTGCGTGGTTTGTAGTAGTGACAATATCTTAAAAGGAAGTATGTTTTTATTATCTTAATTAGACAAACAACTTTTAATTGAAACTTTAAAAATCATGTGTTACTAATATTATAATTAGTTAATACAATAAATTCCCTATATAATTTCTAAAATAATCCCCTGGTAAAATGTCACCACTGCTAACCATCATTTGCCAGCATCTGTGCCAATACACAAATCTATTTTTAAGCGTTATTCAGTCTAATACAATACCAGTCGATAAAAACTCCCTGGAATATAAGTGTCTAACTCCGTGGAAAAGAGTAATTGAAAATGTGAGTCCTTGTTTTTACTTGATCCTTTGGCATTTCGCTCGTTGAACTATTAGATCTTCAACAATTTCCTATTTTATTCAATTACTCTCATTGTCAGTTTTTTGGCTTCTTAGTTTCCTGGACTTTGGTTTTTTCATTACTTACATCACAGGCGCCTAACTTTTATATTTGCTTTATAATTGTTTCGGAGAATGTTTTTCTTTTTACTTCCCATAGTTGTATGTTGTTCTGATCGGCTTATATTCCGGGACTTTCACTTTTTGCCTTGTCCGGAGATATCGATTGGGCCCAACGGAGTAGGTATACCTGAAGACGGAGATAGAGTCCCGTTTCCGAAACGTCGATCAATTTTATTATTTTATTAGATGATGGAAAACATCCAAAAAAAAAACTTCTTATTTTAAAAACGCACCATAGTCACAAACTTTTACATTTGAGTAATTGAAAAGCTGATAGTACACTCAGCTTCTAAAGAAATTTCCAAAATTTTGTGATACCTGTATGTCAATTGCCTTGTTCACAAGAACCTGTCCCTATCCTGACCAAAATTTTGTATGCATTTCTCATCTCCCCCATGCTGCTTGCCCCGCTCACCTCATCCTCCATTGATCACATTTTCCTAAGCACCCTGTTCTCAAACACTTCAGTCCGTGTTCTTTTTCTATTTGCATGACAGACCAGTATTCACACCCATACAAAGCAACAGACATAAGTATAGTTTATATATATTAATCTTTTATTTCTTGATGGATGGGAGCCAAAATATTCTGAACTGCATTGTACCAAGCATTCCCTGAATTTAGTCTGCTCGTAATTTTCTTCTGTATACAAATTCTGATTTGTTAATGTCGTTTCCAAGTATCTGAGCTTTGCGACATTTCCAGAGGATCCACTAGCTACATAATGATTTTGTCCTTGGTCTGGTGACAAAACATGAACATGTACCTAGTTTTCTTTGCATTAACAATATTTATGTTCTCACCTTGCATATCGAACATCATCAGTTTAATTCAGTTCGTGTGTCCCATTCAGTTCCAATCCTTGTCTTTTCATAGACGTTTGTGATGGCTTATACTGAAGCAAAGCGGTCATAAAAGATCTTGTTTTAGACTGTTCGTAATACAAAATGCATCAGACCTGTACACATTTTACTACGGGCTTCATTTAAACATGATTTAATAAGTAACTGGTTTTATTGTTGAACTGAATTGTGTGAAAATGTTGACTTCCCTTCTAACTTAGTCCTAAGTTGGTAAGCCTTCTTAAATTAATTTATGCACCTGAGTAAAAAAAAAGACAGTTTCAGTTCATTACTACCCCCAATTCAATTCTAATATTCGTGGTGGACAAAGTGTTGCATTACAACAGAATTTGACTGTACAGATAATGAAATGTAATTTAGCTAATGGGTTGACATGCTGGAGTCATACGCAAGTGATCATAAATTGATTCCCGGTCAAGATGGAATTCTCTTATTGCATTAAATGGACGGTTTACTATACAAATTAAATTTTTTTTATGATTATGCAACAGATTTCAAAACCTGTGTCTTGCTAATATTCTAGAATCAAATATTTTGTGTTACCAAAACAATTTATTGTATGTGATACTGTAATTACATGTTCAACTAGTCTGTAACTGATAAAACAAATTGGTCTTTTTAGACGTCAGTAAATATTTATTTTGGATTGTATATTCCTTAATCCTTTGCCCTGCTTTTTTAACTGCTGTGTCGAGTACTTGGTTTGTGTAGTTACAAAAAGCCTTAAATGTATGACAATAAAAATGTACTTCAGCTCAGGTTTCAAATTAATTACGTTCTGTGGTATGCATGGCAAAGGGTTGGGTACGCGGTAGTTCAGTGTTTCTCAGCCTTTCGGTTTTTCAAAAGACCAGTCTGTTTGTTTCACATTGCACAGTAAAAATCTACAAATCTAATTTTATTACAAACACATTTGAACATTTTTGGTTTATATAAAAATGGTTGTATTAAGGTCGAAGATACATCTAAACATATTTTTCGTAACAAACTGTGCAGAAGGACGTGTCTTCACAGAGCCGTGGGTTTATGATAAGGCTCGACTGCCCTATTTCTGAGCGATGCAGCAGGTGACAAATTCTGCTCACTGTTCCTCGGGTCTTGCTGGGTTGTACCATTAAATGTCGCCAGAAGAATAGGCAAACATGAATTATTCAGATTTCTGTCTTCTGGGTTGTTGCGCTGTGTAGTCTGGTCGATGTTTACCAACGTTTCAGAGGTCATACTGCCTCCGTCATCAGGCCCTGATGATGGAAGCAGTATGACCTCTGAAACGTTGGTTAACGTCGACCAGTGTACACAGCGCAACAACCCAGAAGACAGAAATCTTCATACTTACCGCTGTGAAAACCTCAAATCATACGTGAATTATTCAGTTCCTAAGAGGAGTGAAATAAGTCATTAGTCTTAAGGTAGTAACTTTCATAGAATTTCTGAAGCGCTATAATACTGGTCGCAGAATATCTGTGGGCTTGAGCTCTGTCACAATAAGAGGGGCAGGGAAGATGGAAAGTGTGGGGGCGCAAGGCACCTCATACTAGCCTTGTCCTCCCTGCCCATACTTCGGCTTGCTGGCCACCAATGTGCGTATTTGTAAGAGTTGATTAAGCCTAGTAATATTTTAAAACAATTAAGCTGGGGATTAAATGTTTGTTTACCATTGATTGAGAAAGTTAATTGTAGAAAAACAAATGACAAGAATTTTTATTTTGTGGCAAAGAAATGTATATTATATTTATTTTCTGAACAGTGCAACAAATGATGCTACAAACTGTGATGATTTCTTGTTTTATTGAGTAAAAACAATAAAAATTACTGTTGAATTCAAAGTTTTATGACAGTTCCTAAGTCCATTGTGAAGGATGGTCACGTTTATATGGCTATTATGTGCCGATGCAGCTACATTTTACTTTAATCAGCCTTGAAATGAAAGGACAAGGAGTAATTGTATGTAAATTTGTATAGGATGACTCCATTACAGTTCAGTAAGTTTATTTATGTCTTTTTATACAATGTGGTTTGGGAAAATTGGCCACTGTGATGGCTACATAATGCACATTCGTTTGTTTTATTCCACCCCCCTCTCCTATTTCAGATGCAATGGATTTACTAGAGCTGAGGAATTATGTTGGCATTATCTATGGAATGATTTCTTTGCTGGAATGACCATGAGTGAATTAGCCGGATACATGACCTGACGATGTTACAAAACTCGCCCAAACACCCATAGCCAAAACCTGATGTTGGTTTAATCTGTGGCCAAAACTTTAACACCAGCTGCCTGAAACCCAGCACAGGGTATATACGTACATTCAGCTGACGAATTTATGATCGTTGGTGCAGATGGGTTCGAGCTGTCAAACCACAGCCCTGTTTCTTTTATTTCATTTTAATTCATTAATAATTGACAATGCCGTTATAAAGCGACAGATAACAATAATAATATATTACGCACGTAATTGATAATAGCTGCCCTCAGGTAAATGTAAAGTCTCTGATGATCACTAAACTTTTCGCCATGACGTACGGGGGTATGTAGGTTAACTCCACCCTTTCTTGACCTCGGAACTCTGTGGAAGTAAGTGGTCAGCGTCATGCCTCGGACGCTGTACCCAAGAAATATTTCTGCCGGGTATCAAACCCCGGTTCATGTAGCCCAGTCACTACTGAATGAGTTGCCCGGGTGTGATTGTTGTTCGTACCACCGAAAATATCGAAGCGATACAAAACAGTAGAGTCCAGAAATACATTAAAATTATAATATGAGAACCGACAGCAATGTTAAATGGGACAGCCGGATTCAGCTCCAAAAACATGAGACACGTTGAGATTCTTAATTTGTATCAGTGGAACAGAACAGACTTACGAGGCGGCCAGCCAGTTAGTTAAAGAAGGCTGTGAGCAGATTACGACGTCATTTTCACAAACGCTGTCAGAAAAACGACCAACGACAATAACTTTAGGTTTGTGAAACAACCCTAGACTGCTTTCAGAAGACGTGTTGTCGACATGCTACCATAGATTTAAACAACCAACCACAGAACAGTATTAATGGGAGTTCCGGCCGTTGGTTGGGACTTCAAACTCGAGGACAGTAAGCAGACAAAGACAGTGTTATTAATAAGAACAGTGCATTTCCAGCAGTATGTACGGTGCTCTGTTGAGTTGCGTAGTGGAAATACGACAGTGGATCCAGACAGACGCCTATGTATTTATATATTATGAAATCAGTTCACTAAATCTATCAACAGTGTATTTGTGTAATCTGAACTCTTGACTGCCGACATCTTGAGAAGGCATTCCATGAACAGCCTGTTTATTATTTTCATTCGAAAAATCTATCCAGATACGCCATGTAATAAGGTAATGTTATATGCCACTAGACAACATACTTTATCAGTAAATTTTAAGATATTCCATCAAAACTTTCCACGGTTATAGCGATTATCAAGCGTTCGCCTTTCTGGACATTTGTTTAAAGTACGGTGTGTGTTAGCACAATGCGTGTTCTTCCCTGCGCGTGGAGTTGTAAGATTACGCTGTTCAAGTGCTACAAATTCTTTCTCGATTGCATCGCACCGATTGTCCCAATGGTTAGCGACTGCTCGGAGACTCAGCTGTTTCTTGCTATGAGAATTTTCGCCTTGACAATATCAGGATAATCGACATCGCGTGTTAAAACCTGATATAAAGAATTTAATTGACATTTGTATAGTGTAGCACATTGCAGTGGGAGGAAGATTTGAAAGTGTATCAATTCAAAGGGTGGATTATGAGTGGTTTTTTTCTTCTTCAAGGAAATAGAGTGGGTGAGATCTCTGAAACAGTTCTCCTCATACTATACATAGAAATGAGAAGCCATGTTTTGTCTAACACACACAAATTATTTTAAAGGTCGATACACCACTACTCATAAAACGAACATTCACTTTCCGTAATTTTTAAACATAAGAGATGATATCTAGAGCCGCAGGGCCCACTACACTTGATAGACTTTTGTTTACCATAAAATGGTTTATTACACTGCACCAGCAAAACACGTCCGTTCATTTCGACAACTCGAACGATAATGAATAAGGCCGGGCGCAAACGGAACCACTAGCCACCTCTACCGGTGACTGCCACAAGCTGCGATCTGTATTTTGTATGCAGTTTTAATAGACTCAGCGCAGACACGACGTTCGTCGACCGGGCCACACGCTGCGGTAGTCGCCCGACCGGTCCACACGCTGCGGTTAGTGGCCGTGTCTCGCTGCGTCCGGTCACCGTTTATCCCGCGCAGACGCAGCTACTAACTTCCCCTTGTTCATTATAATAAAGTCTGTTACAGGACGATGCCATTTTGTTTTCGTGTACAGACGACTGCCTGGGATACTAAATTATAAAAGTACGCTAAAAATGTCTGCATGAACAAATAAAACATATTTCGGTAAACCACCTTAGTAATTTGGACGGGAGTTGGATTATTTGGGGTCCGTGGTGTAAAATGTGACATTACAGGTCCAGGTAGTTACGTGAACCTGATAGTAGGAGGCGCGTTGATTTGAAAGTGGAAGCATTTCAGAGAATAAGCTATTGAAATTCTAAAAATTATATATTATTTAAATCTTGTCCGTATAATCACAATAAATTCTTATTAATATTAAAATAATTAACATTTAAAATATTAAATGATGTTCTTTATCGAAATATTCGATTTACATTAGACCATCATTTTTCACGACATGTTTCAGTTCCTATAAGAACTATCTTCAGGTGTATATAATTATATAAAGATTCAAATCAATAATAACTTAAATACAATTTCTTAAATAAGTTATTATTGATTTGAATCTTTATATAATTATATACACCTGAAGATAGTTCTTATAGGAACTGAAACATGTCGTGAAAAATGATGGTCTAACGTAAATCGAATATTTCGATAAAGAACATAATTTAATATTTTAAATGTTAATTATTTTAATATTTAATAAGAATTTATTGTGATTATACGGACAAGATTTAAATAATATATATTTATTATATCACAATATGACGCAACTTTACCATCTCTAAAAATTATATTGAAGATATTTTGATAAAGCTCTTTCTCGCTGTTTGACATCATGGTGGGGTTTTACTTCTTATGACAGATTCAGCTGCGTATAAAGACAGATGTGTCTGTGTGATATGAGGAAAAGGTCCGTGCTGAATTTTGGTAAATAAAATAAACCTCGTATATCTACAAAGAATAATATCCTAATGTAAGCCAACAAAATCAAATTTTCTGGGTAAAACCATTGACCAGTCGGCGCTGAGTTGGAGATATTCTCAGCGAAGAAGAATATGTTAAGTTGTTAAATGGTTGAAGATGATGTCTTAGTTATACATGGCTTTGATTTAAATATTGCTGATGGATAAAGTATGGCACTCTGATGGGTTTCGATTGTACTTCATAACTATGTCACCATTTCTACCATCACCTGCTTTTACCTTGTTTTCTTCAGGACATGTCCAAATGCACGAACTTGGTACAGAGATTTAAAATTTATCTTTGTAACAAGAGGATACTAAGCCATAATGTAAAATTTACCACGATGTGTCTCCACTCCTGTTTGACAGTTGTGGTCTGATCTCAAAAAACCCCACCTATTCAGACTAACCGCCACGGTGGTCTAGCGGTTAGAACGCTGGCCTTGTAATCCTGGGGTCTCGGGTTCGATTCCCGGGGTTGCCCGAATTTATAACTTGTGTTGGGCAAGGACGTGGTCTAGACAACACGGAGTTTTCCTCCGTGGCATCCCAACAATTACTCCATTCACACACAGAAGAAGGCAATGGCAAATCACTTCTGGATCATCTGCCAAGAACGTATATGAACAGGTCCCAGTCCGAGAAAAGGATGGAAGGATCCTGTTCATATGGACCTGTCCTCAGACAGAACACTACAAAAAAAATATTTAGACTACGTAAAACAATTAATTAATGTTGCTCAGATCCTCTCCTACGCACGTGTCCTTTATATGAAAACTGGTAACGTGTTGCATACAAAATACAAACTACGAAAACGTTAAAGTTCTTAGTCCTCGAGTAGTATCTTCGTGAGAGAACCTGCAGACAAGTGGGGATTGCTGCAGCACGTTCAGAAATCTATCATCTTCTTCACTAATGTATTATATTGTCTGAATCATGTCCAAGTGCAAGTCCATATTTGCATTTTGCCCCTCAGGGCAAACTAAGGTAATTTTGTAACCAGGTAATGCAGATTGTCTCTGGTTACAGCGCTCGTAGAATGAAGCCATGGATCTATATCCTGTGCATAGAATTGAAATTGTGGGGGTGTATGTATTTTTTAAAACGCGTAATATTTATTCCTTGAGATCAATAAGAGATTTCTGAAAGGTCAAAGGTTTGAGTCCTGGTGAGGGTAATTTCTGGGGCTCTGGATATTTATTATTATTTAGTGTTCTGTCTGACGACAGGTCCATATGAACAGGATCCTTCCATCCTTTTCTCGGACTGGGACCTGTTCATATACGTTCTTGGCAGATGATCCAGAAGTGGTTTGCCATTGCCTTCTTCTGTGTGTGAATGCCACGGAGGAAAACTCCGTGTTGGCTAAACCACGACCTTGCCCAACACAAGTTATAAATTCGGGCACCGCCGGGAATCGAACCCGAGACCCCAGGATTACAAGGCCAGCGTTCTAACCGCTAGACCACCGTAGCGGTTGCTCTGGATATAAGCATGATAAAAGATCTAACACCAAGACAAAAATTTGTTTCGGGAAGGAAATTACAGTAAAAAAAGCCACAATCTATAAAAACTGCCCTAGGTTGGTGTCTCTGTCATGTGATGTAACGATAAGTATCGAATGATCAGGAAGATTGGTAATTAATGCAAGTATTTGTTGAATTTCGTAGCAGTGACACTGCGAGGTCTGAGCTAGTCCTGTAAAAATTAAGAATGTACGTGTTAAAGGCAGGAAGAAAGGATAAGCTCCAACAAGGAAGAAATGTTGATTTGGTAATTTCAACTTGAAGTCGCACACAGTAACTTTCTGTTCTTGAAGCATTGCGTGATGTTGTCATAAGTTACGAAACGAGAAGTTCTTAAACGTTTTTATGTCTTTTAAGTTGCATCACCTGTCGAGAGGTCTCTTGTACAAACAAGACTTACATTTCGAAGATGGCTGTCTTAAGTAAAGGAATTAAGGATTTTGACGTTGACTGATGAAGGGAGGGAATAGAATGGGGGAAACATTTGAAGACGAAAGAGATGGACATTTCGATTTTTTATATATTTTTTTTAATTGTGAGGCATCGTTACCAGCATTTAGAAGAAACGCATCGTCTCCATCTTTATGACAAATGAATCCAGATGGTACATGCTCCTTCAAAGCGTTGGTATACTCCAACAAAGGCAATTGGTTATCTGAACGCCATCAGATCGTAATAGATCACATTTTTTATTGACTTCAAATCACAAATGGAAAGAGATTTGCCTCCAGTCACGTATTTCAAGGTTATCAGTGCTGAGGCTTCATCTTCACCCCTGAAAACAAAGGTAATATGTTCAACCGAAACCTTAGTATTTACTGACAAGTCCATACGGCGCTGTTACCCTGAAGGCTAACTTCGACGTCCTCACGGTGACTCGACCAAGAAGGTAAGGACAGATTCTTGTGCAGACTGGAAGAACGTTTGGAATGTCCGGTCAGCGAGGTAGGATGAGATGGTTTTCACCAGGTACGACGGGGAGTTGAGGACTGTGAGGCCTTCGACCCAAACCGTGTCGAAGGCTTTGGCCACGGTTAGCCGGTTCTCGTCACCTCGTGCAGGATCCTAGTCAATAGGATCTTCTCACAGAGATTGACTGATGGGTCTGTAGGAAGAGGGCAGCGTGCTTACTGTCAGAGGGACAGGGGACCCATTCGTGTCTCTGTGTTTAGTCGCCAACTACCGCACTCATGTGGGTTCTACGAGTTGATTGCTTAACACTTTCTGTTTACCGTGCAATGTGTACGTTTCAGAACGTTTTGTCTACGTAAGCGGATGGGAAATTTAAACACGAAACCCGTTATACACAAACACACTTTGACACAGAAATAAGTGTTCCAGTGGTAGTGACTTGTTGCTAAGTTACATTCAGAGGCCCAGACGGGTTCTTCCGTGTACTGACACACTCAGGTCACTGGCTCACGGTTTTATTGGGAGGCTCATAGGGGAAACTGAAGATGGTTCCTTGTGTCGAGTTGCAGAGGACGCGGCCTGTCTCATGTGTGATTCGTAGAACCTTAGAAAACGCAAATGTCCGAAGCACGAGCTGAGAAGATGCTAATGGGACAGTCGAACAGACCACGGACAATTTGATGTTGCACT